GCCTGGCGTGATATGGTTCATGGGGTCATGAAGAGTTGGACACGACTTAATGACTGAACAACAACAACAACAATATTCACCATAGTATACAATACTGAATGAAAGGCCTTATCAACAACAGGAGGTAATTATTGGAATTGGTAAGATTCATCAAATCACTCAGGGTGAATACATACAAAACAATCTAATAGCATAGCTATTGATTACTGAAATCTTCATCAGAATGTATCACGTTCATATCCTAATTCAGTTATTTCTTAAACTTTAGCCTACATCACCAGTCTCCCAACAATAGCCATCCACTCTACCATTAGAAGACAACTAAAACAGGAGTGACTCAAATTCTCTTCCTAAGACCAAACATCAGGATTTAAAAAAAAATGTGTTTGCTTCTTAGCATATTATATGAATTCACCTATTGTGATTTATTTAATAAAACATGTTTAAACAATGACACAGCATAATGGGTGAATCCAGTCTATTATTGGGAATAACAAGAAAGTATCTGTCATTATGTGCAATGCAGCACTCTGTTCATTAATTTGTAAGCTGCTGGTGTCTTACCTTCAGATGTCTTGCATCTTCCTATTCCTTACAAAAAGGGACTTCAGCCCACTTTTTCAAACCTACTGATATTGGGGGAAGGAGGTGTCAAAGCATTTAATTAATTATATTAAGATTAATTAGTAGGTCTGCTCCAGTGTTCTGTTTATCTATCAGTGAGGGATGATTTCTAGTTGGGAAAGGTATAGAGGTCAACTTGTTTTTGCTACTGGGTAGTGTTACAATACTCTGCGAGTCAATCACACAAATAGAAATGTGCAAAGAGCATTTTACATAGACGTTTGTCAGAATAAAAGGAGCAATAAGTTGTTATAAAACAACAAAGACAGCAAAACTAGGTGTGTTAATGCACAACACCATTCTGAATATTAATCCAGAAGCCATTTGTCCATTTAAGGAAAACAACTTTTCTATTTCCAATATGACAACAAAATAATAATATTTTAATCCATCCCACACAATACTTCAATAGCTTACTAGATTCAGGAATCTTTCATTTTGAAAATAAATACATCCCTACCAGCAGCTTTTCAGAATGTTACCAGTCTCTGAAAAAATAAATATTAGATATTAAGTTTTAATATAAAAGGGCAATATATTAATTTTTTATAAATACAAATAATGAACTTGATGTATCTAAACAGAATTGTATAAATTAATATTTAGATAAACTGACCTAGAAGGAAACTTCTTGTAGGCAGAGTACCTCCATTTTCATCTCAATGTATTTTACTAATGCCACTGAGCAACCTATGCTTAATAATAATCTTAACCTCTAATAAATGTGTTTAGGAATGCAGCAGAGGGGAATCGGTAGAAGGACTGAAAAACAAAACTTTTTTACAAAGTTACTTTGTAAAGAAATTGACCCTGTCCTCCCATTCTAGCTTCTATAGAATACACGCACACACAAATGCACATATTTAGTTTATATATATTAAAAGCAATATATTAAACTGTAAATATAGTAATAATAGTAAACTCAACAAGAGCACTGTTTTAGTGGCATTCTAGAAAATTATTATCAAAATGGGAAAATATTATTATTTGCTACAGCTTCAGAACTAGATTGTAATGCTATCTCACTCAATTCACTTTTCATAAGTTATAACGTCCAGCAAACAATCCTGATTCTTTTTCTAGAAAATATCAAGTGACTGTAGGAGATACATAACAGATAACCAAAACATTTAATCCACCAAAACATATTTGTTTGCAGAAATTAAAAGAAAAACAAAAACAGAATTTGCAGGAAACTGAAAGATGGGTTAACTTTAAAATGGAAAAAGCTAGAGCTAGGTGTTTCAGCTTGGCACTATTTGAAATCTAACCAGTAGTTTACTGCCTTCAAATCACCAACTGAGTGCAAAAGTTCAGCTACAGAGTAAGTACTACTTTGAGAAAAGGTTAACTCCAGCAGTAACCTGTTTATCCAGGTACTAAACAAATGCTATTCTCAAATTGACACTGAATCAAACTATCTTCAAACACATTTCTTCAGCAAAAATTCGATCACTATTATCTTTAGACTGATAGCCTACTCTGCCCTAAACTTTCAGAGTGCTTGACACACATACATATCCAGAAACCAAGCAACAGTATACTTTTCACTATGGCTTCCCAACTTAATTGATCCCAAAGTCCAGCCAAACAAGTAGATTTTAAAATGGTTCTAAAAGATTCTTAGTACTGGCAGTCTGCAGCTGAAAAGAGATTCATAACAGGAGAACACCCAATAAAATGTGCTCTTGCTGACCAAGCTTGAGAAATAGATAGTACCATTAAGAAGATGCCCTCAGTGATTTCTAGATAGCATAACAAGATAGAAGAGAGTATGTGATAAAATTCATATAAATAAATCACACAGACCAAACATTGTTTAACAATGTTCATGATTCAGAGCAGACCAGCTTCTTCTCCCAAAAATCAAGTGCAGTGTATAACTTTAAGTCAGATGATTTGGGCACCTAAGGAAGAAAATATCCCTGGCAGTAAAAAGGCTCCAATAATAAATTAAGAATCGTTTACAGTGTTTTCATGACAACCAGAATCAGATACCCAAGCAACCATGTCTCTACAGCTAGTTATAGAGACAATCATGTCAGTAGAGTGGTGGCGTGCTAGCAGTGAGAAATACTAACAATGTTCCAAACAGAACTTTTGGGATGTTAAAAAACATAAACTCACTGACAACTTAACACCAATGATATGTTACAGTGTACATAAATTATTGAAAGCCACTTCATAAAATTTGTAGAGGACATCTACCTAAAAATTAATATAGTATAAAGGTTATAGCATTGGATGACCTGTTCATACTGTTTTAATTTTCATGGACAGTATAGATACATTGAGGATATATAACCACAGTTCCCAACCACGTGTATGTGTACAATGAGAGAAAAGCCAACATTAACCAACATTATTTACCTGAAATTTCAAATTAATCTGTGTATAAGCATCTACCATGTAAGATCTCTGTAACACACATCTCTCAAAGTTCTCCTATATAAAACAGAGGCTGTATTTTTGCTTATTAATGAATATACAAATAGTTGTTAAAGGACACAAAAATTGCTATTCAAGGAAAGGTAACCTGAAATGTAAAACTAGTTGCCAATAATAATACAGTCTAAGATAAACACCAGACAAGCAAAAGTTCATATATGGCATGATACACCCACCAGGCATACATTTCTATTGAAAGAGAATGCTTGTTATTTATTACTTTTGCCTATACATTTGGACATAATCTGGGCCCATAAATTCCTTTTGTTTCTTGAGACATTAGCAGTTATAAGTGCATGTATATTAAGCACATAAGAAAAATGATGAGCCACAATTCAAGGTAATATCTGAATAACCCATTGGCTATTGAAAAACCTAAACTGATCCTTAAACTATATTTAACAAAATACACATACACAGAAATTATGGGAGCAGTAGATTAAAGCCTATGAATACACAGAAAATATGTGAAGGCAAGAGAATCAGTTACTATTCTAAACTATATCATATAAACAACAAATGTTGAGCACAGAATTTAGCATCCCCAGAACTTCAGCTTTCATTTTAATAATTAAGCACCTTCCATACTCTTGAAGCTCCTTCTCAGATTTTCCTTCCCCACTCCCTTCAGCAACCACCATCATCCCACCTTTTTTGAATTCCTCAAGCATGGCATCAAGCTTGGTATCATTGAAGACAAAATGCAGTGGATGGTTATAGAAACGTGTGATGGTCTTGAGTGGAGTACAATCATCAGGATCCACAAAAGCTAAGTCTTTGACAAAAAGAAGGTCCACAATATTAGAGCGGTCCCCTTCAAAAACAGGGATACGTGTATAACCACTCTCCATGATTTCAGACATAGTGTTGAAATCAAGTACAGCCTCAGCAGTAATCATGAAGCAATCCCGGAGAGGAGTCATTACATCCTCCACAGTTTTGGTGCGCAATTCCAGCGCTCCCTGAATTATATTCAATTCTTCTTTGACCAAATCATTGTAGGGATCAGTGACTCTTAACATTTCAAGTAGCTTCTCACGGTTATAGACAGTACCAATCTCTTGCCCTAAAACACAGTCCAGCAGCTTGCTGACTGGATAAGAGGCTGGAAAGGTCATCATCATAAAGAACTTGGTGAGGAAGATGGTGTTGGCACCAACAGCCAGACCGTGCCGGGAACAAATAGCCTGTGGCACAATCTCACCAAAAATGACAATACCAATGGTGGATACTACCACCGCCACCAGTCCAGAACCCGCAATGTCATCAAGCAGGATGGTAAGGGTAGTATTGACCAATACATTACCCAAGAGCAAGGAACAGAGCAAGTAGTTGCCCTGGCGTCGCACAGGCTCAATGCGCTTAGCGTAGTTTTTTTCTTTTTCTGTCCCACAATTCTGCACAATACGCAACTCCATAGGATCAAGAGCCATAAGTCCCAGGTTGAGACCACTGAACATGCCAGAAAGACACAACAGGAGGGAGATGAAGATCACCTGAAGCCAGAAGGGTAACAAGAATTTCTTCTCCTCACCTACAATCATCTTGGTGTCCTCACCATCATGATAGATCCAAGTTGTCTCAGTCCAGGGCCCTCCATCAGAACCAATAATGCTACCTCCACCACCAGGGCCCCCAGCCACACTCCCTGCCCCTCCTAGGATAGCTGGAGAAGATACAGAGGTACACAGGTAGTACGACTTGCTCTTTTCCGTTTTGCGCAATGGCTTGATATCAATCTCGATAATACCCGAGGTACGGCGGTTGAGGGTGATATGCGGGAGGATAATGATATCCGATGTCCGGATGCCGCAACGCTGCGGGGCCGATGACACAGAACCAACGGGCACCGGACCATCTTCTTGTTCAGCTGGCGGCCGCCTGCCTTCCCCATCCCTCCTCCGTTCATGCTCAGTGAATGCGATGCGGGACCAGGTCTCGTTATTGATATTCTGCCCGTAGACCCGCAGTTTGACATGAGTCCTCTCGCTCACCCGCAGCACTCCCTTTTCCATAAAAGATACATCGTCCGTGTCCTCCAGCCGTAACCCTATTATCACCGTTTCCTCAGAATCGGACGCCCCGGGCAACAAGGAGGCAGAGGCAGAGGAAGAGGCAGAGGCAGAGGCAGAGGCA